TGAGAGAGCCAGAGAGCTACAACACAAACACACAGAGGATTTTAGCTTTCAGCTAATAATAATAACGAGACATTTTATTTGTAATGCACCTTTCTCAAACTAAAAGCATTACAACTGTTACAGAAACAAAATAAGAAATAAAAACAGAACATATAATATCAAAGATCACAGTAATGGTTATAAATTAAAAGCTTCACTGAAAAGATGTGTCTTAAGAAGTTTCTTAAAACAATCAAGAGAAGAAGCATTCCTAATAGATACAGGTAATGCATGCATTCTATAACTTTTTTAATTACAATGAGGCTGATAAAGGAGAGAGAGCCAGCAGAACGAAGAGAATGAGAGAGTATAGATGGTGTAACCAAATCACGGATGGAGCCAACCCATGTACTGCTTTATAAACCAAAATAAGAATTTTAAAATCAGTGCATGATTGGACTGGGAGCCAGTGCAGTTGCCGAAGCACAGGACCAATGTGGTGGCGTGAAGATGTATAAGTCAAAACACGTGCAGCTGAATTTTCAATATATTGCAACCTCTTAATAGAATTTGCTGATAAACCTGCAAAAAGGGAATTACAATAATCAAGCCTTGATGTAATAAAGGCATGAACAAGCCTCTCTGCATCAGGCCTAGAGAGAAAAGGTCTAAGACTGGCAATGTTCAGAAAATGAAAAAAGCAGCCTTTGTAATGTTTTTAAAATGAGCATTAAAAGTCAGATGAGCATCAAAAATCACCCCCAAGTTCTGCACCTGGACAGAAGTGGATACTTGGCTATTGTCCACAGTAAGGTTAAAACTGTTACACTTATTAACATTAGTAAGAGTACCAATTAATACGATTTCAGTTTTATAACAGTGAGTTTAAGAAAGTTGTGTTTTTGATCCATGCCTTAATTTCCAGCAAACAATCAGAGAGAGTTGAAGAGGCAGGAGCAAGATCAGACTAATATAAATCTGGGTGTCGTCCGCATAACAATGATAGCCAAGGCCATACTTCTGGATAATCTGCCCCAGAGGCAGCATATAAACAGTAAATAAGATAGGACCCAAGACTGACCCTTGAGGGACACCCTGTCACAATGGCACCGTCTGAGATCTATTAGTACCCAGAAAAACTAATTAGGAGTATTCTGAAAGGTAAGATTCAAACCAGTTAAACACAGTGCCCGAAATACCAACCCACCTATGAAGTCTGTCCAGTAATGTAGCATGACATATTGTATTGAATGTAGCATTAAGATCGAACAAAACCAAAATGCCACAAGCTCCAGAATCCGCTATAATGAGTAGGTCATTCATAACCCTCAATAGAGCAGTCTCCGTGGTATGTCCAGACCTAAACCCGGATTGAAATGTTTCTAGAAGACTGTTCATAGAAAGATGATGTTGCAGTTGGCCAACAACCACACGCTCAAGAACTTTCTCCAGGAAAGGTAGATTTGAAATAGGCCTGTAATTGGATATTTCAGCAGTATCACTCCCTGGCTTTTTTTAAGAACTGGCATAACTGCTGCCATTTAAATGTGGAACAGACATTCTAAGCTAAGATTACATGCTGTGTGTCTAGGTAGAAAGAGCTGGACACATCTAAACGAAGGATGTGTGTGTTTCTGTACAGGTGGTAACTGCTATGGGGCGCACATGGCATCCAGAGCATTTTGTGTGCACACACTGCCAGGAGGAGATTGGTTCCAGAAACTTCTTTGAGAGGGAAGGACAGCCATACTGCGAGAGAGATTACCATCATTTATTCTCTCCGCGCTGCTACTACTGTAACGGACCCATACTGGATGTGAGAACAAACGATTTTTTAGTCTGAACAGCAGAATAAGCACATTCAATATGTTTACTCAGTCGATGCAATCCATATTTATATGTGGCCAGATTTGTGTTCAGTGCGAACAAAGCCAGTGTTTATTATGGCAGCCTGTATGCATTAATTTAGTGTCACTTCCATTGTAAGTGATTACTGTTTTTCATTTAGATTTTTGAGAGACAAGTGGAAATCGGTTCCTGTGGTAATTGACAGCTTGCTACAGATGATAAAAATGTTAATTTTTCTCACCTCACAGAAAGTGGTGACAGCGTTAGATAGAACGTGGCATCCCGAGCACTTTTTCTGTGCTCAGTGTGGGGCGTTCTTCGGTCCTGAAGGTGAGTAAATGCTTACAGAAGAGTCCGATCATTACAAGTACCCACAATTATTCATATTTTGCTCATTCACAAGTTTGTAATTTTATTTTTGCTAGAAAATTTCACACTTTGCATAAACATCTGCATTAAAAATCCAAAAAAGCTTAATGGGTGCCCTTTAAACTAAAAGGGTGACAAAACAAATACTGAAATTAAAAAGAACTCTGCACTCAGTGTAATGAAATTACACAATTTGTACAATTTGTAATTAAATTAAACTTTTGGACTCTACTGTTGACCTCTAAGCTAACAGGCACAGACGAAAAGCCACCAAACTAATTTTTTTCTTTGTATTATTGCATATTGTTGTAAATACATCTTTGTTCCATTATTTTTCAGGATTTCATGAGAAAGATGGAAAGGCGTACTGTCGTAAAGACTACTTCGATCTCTTTGCTCCTAAATGTGGAGGCTGTGCTCGTGCCATCCTGGAGAATTACATCTCTGCCCTGAGTGCCCTCTGGCATCCAGAGTGTTTTGTGTGCAGGGTTAGTGTATGATAATGAAAGAATTTTCTTTTTTTTTTAAGTGGTCTGTTTCTTTAGTTTTGAATATAGACTTGGTCAAAAGTTTGGAATAATTTAAATTTCTTTAATGTTTTTAAAAGTAGTCTCTTCTACTGCCTTCTTTTGATTAAAAAATACAGTAAAAAACAGAAATCATGTGTGCTGCATATTAGAATGATTTCTGAAGGATTATGTGACACTGAAGACTGGAGTAATGATGCTGAAAATTCAGCTTTGATAACAGGAATAAATTACATTTTATAATAATATACTACAATAGAAAACACTTATTTTAAATTGTAAAAATATTTCACAATATTACAGTTTTTTTACTGTATTTTTAATCAAATAAATGCACCCTTTTGGTGAGCCTAAGAGATTTCTTTCAAAAACTTTATGAGTAGTTTATGAGTAGTCATGTGGTTTTGTTGTGTGTGTGTGTGTGTGTGTTTCAGGAGTGCTTCACACCCTTCGTCAACGGCAGTTTCTTCGAGCACGACGGTCAGCCGTACTGTGAGGTTCATTATCACTCCCGCCGTGGGTCGCTGTGTTCCGGCTGTCAGAAACCCATCACGGGCCGCTGCATCACAGCCATGGGCAAGAAGTTTCATCCTGAGCATTTTGTCTGTGCCTTCTGCCTCAAGCAGCTCAATAAGGGCACCTTCAAAGAGCAAAATGACAAGCCTTACTGCCAGGGCTGCTTCATCAAGCTCTTCAGCTAGATAGATGTCTGACTGACCGACTGACTGAGTGTGTGAGTGTGTAAGTCTGCATGTTGTATTGTTTGCCTGTTTTGTGTGTGCGTATATGTGTGCGTGTATTTGTTAATCCGGTTTATGTGTCTGACTCTCAACGTCCCCACATGACATTGCTGGTCAGGTTAAAACGATGGTGCCATGATATGTGCTCTCAAAAGCCAGGCTGTTTTTAGAGGGTATTAGAGGAAAGTTCAGCTGAGACTAGAGTTCTTTTTAGAGAAAGTGTGTGAGTGTTTTCTGCTCACTGGATGAGCTGGACAGAAACTGTTTGATGATGAGAACAGTACAGGAGGGATGATGGGAAACGTGTGCAGCATGAACGTATGAGACACAATCAACAGAGGTAAATGAAAACAGCTAAATGAGTGACTGGAAGTCAAACGAATAACCAACTGGAGCCAATAATTACTGGTGACTCTCATGAACGAATCCAGGTCATATTTCAGTCTGAAACCAAGAGGAAAGATAAGAAATTATATTTTCCATTAAAAACATTTAAGCCATTTTAAGAATATATATATATATATATATATATA